CACTACACTACACTACACTACACTACACTACACTACACTACACTACAGAACAGAACAGAACAGAACAGAACAGAACAGACATACATACATACACACACAGAGACATACATACATACATACATACATTACATACATACATACATACATACATACATACATACATACCATCCATTACATTACATTACATTACATTACATTGCATTGCATTGCATTGCATTGCATTGCATTGCATTGCATTGCATTACGTACATACATACATATACGTATAGCATAGCATAGCATTGAATAGAATAGAATAGCATCGCGTAGCATAGCATAGCATCGCATAGCATAGCCTAGCATAGCATATCACGCAAAGCATGCAGCTGGCGAAAGGAACTAGATCAAGCTCATAGAGTCGATATGATGGTATCAGAACATGTTTATACCAGCCTCCTTTACATAGCGAAGTCCCAAATCACCCCTGGAATGAATATACATAGGCCTTGCAAGAAAGCTGTATCATTGATTAATAAACTAAAAAGCAAGCATGACAGTCAATTTATAGCAATCAAGACTACACTTGCATTTTTCCTTTTCCAGCCTCCCATGAACTACGTTGCTGAAATGATACTGGCCATTGACCAAATCCTTCTCTCGTCCTTGCCACGGCACCCTGTAGGTCTGTAGGATCAGTTGCGTTCAAAAGTTTGTGAGTGCAGGCCTCCTGCTCTGCCAACAATAGTCACACACCGAGGTCCAGAAACTGCAATCACCTTCAATTTCATAGAACTCGTCAACTGATTGCGAGAACCCTTGGGTTCAGCTAGAACTTGAGATGCGACTGCCTCTGTGTCTGGAACATGCGCTTGAGCTGTAGACTGCCACACCTTGCGGGTTTGGCGTTTGCCAGCCTCTTGCTTCCAAACTCATGTCAGAATCCTTCCAAACAAAAATTATACTGCAATTGTTGCTGATACTGGAATACTGCGTCGCATAAGTTTTCAACACACCAAATAAGCTCTGGGTGTGCTGGATGAGGAAGGTCCAAAGACTCTGCAGCGAAGGCTACACACACCTCATTCAAGGGTGACAGGATGGACCTGTCAATGAAACAAAAAAAATATTGAATGAATTGTCAAATTGTGTTAAGAGAGCAATTCCACAGAATTCTCAGCATCACGAACATTGAATCCGCAACCCCACAACTATATAAGTCGCCAACATCAGACTCTCGTAGGCCTTCCCGATCAATGAGCCAACGCCTTGAGGGTGGCCTCACCAACAGTCGCTATTTTGATACGATTCATTCAACAACGGTTTTTAGCCTCACAAAACATAAATCAAACTTTGCTCATGCGGTCATTCTGTGTCAGTGTGACAGGCTGCAGTGCACACTGACCCTTTGAGTGCTTGACCAGTATCGAATGACTGTGGTGGAGCCCTGCTGCCTGTATATTGGCCGACCATACACGGCACCTCTTTGAACATACCTGCGAGCGTAGATAAAAGCACTGAGACAAAGCGATCTTTTCCTGCATAACAAATTGTTGCATCACTCTTGAATCCCAGGAACTCCCCAACAATATCACTGTTCTCTCGTCCACTTGAACGGCCAAATATGTGCAGCCTGAAAACACTGCTGCTTTGAATTGTGAAAATGGGCAAAAACGCCAGGAAAATGCAAACATGTTTTCTGAACCATTCATGTTGACTGTAGCAGTCTTTCCATTCGGTCTCATGCACTCGTGGGAAACATCGGTCGATGGAGCCCATCGTTTCAAGAACGGGCAAAACGTAATATTGCTGAATCTAATGTAGACACGAAGCTGGATACTGCAGACTTTACTGCCAAGCATTCCAGTTGCTCTTTCAAACATGACAAAAAATGTCTCCCCTGACATTCTTGCAATCCTGACATCCTGCACGCTTGCTCTTGACTCTTGAAGGTCAACAGCTGCAGCTGTTGAGACTTGTGCACATGTTTTGTCAAGCGAAGCAACAATTAGCACACAGTACTATAGGATTCGGCCATTGACTCGACCCTTCATGACAAGATCACATCCCACATCACACTTGTTCACTCTTCAGCAGAAAAAGAAGCGCTCAGCACGCTTCTGTGTGTACACGTCCAATTTTTGAAACCGTGGACGCAAACGTTTGCGTCCGCTCTCCCTCCCTTTGCCATGCCACCATTTTACCTAGTTTGGTATTTTGGATATTGATCACTCTATTCAACTTGGATTGATGAGGTGTAAAGCAAGCACCCAATCGGAGCCTTGCGACAAAGATCCAAATGTCGTGCATTCCATCTACTCTCATCTATGTTGGCGCTGGCAAGATGTGCAGCAGCAGAGTCTGCACCTTCCAACTTGCGCCAACCGGAGACGGTGAACAAATGTATTTATGAGCACATTTTGTCCCACATCAAGAATGATCATGTTGTAAGAAATATGTTGAAAGAACACTATCAAAAGAAATCAGCATTGTCTTCCCCAAAACCCTTCAAAACAGAGCAACTGAAAGCAAGGCGGATCACATTCTTCCAAGTCTGGTCAGTCTCTGGAAAAGATGTGTGTCAATCAAAGCCTTGCAGTTCCCCAAACAATGGTGACTCTGACGGGTTTCTTATGGCAACAAGGTTTGCACCGGTCACCAATCTCGGAAAAAACTTGTTTTTTCATCCCATAACTTGCGAGCGAGGTGTCCCTGCTGCTTGTGGGCATTGAGACAAATCATGGCATGTGTCGAAGTGTTGATGTGGCGTGCCCGCAATTCCAAAAAATGGGAGAGCAAAGCAGGAAAACCTAGCGTCAGTAAGACATGTTTCGCAATTGTTTTAATGTTCAATACCTGGTTTGGAGCCATGTAAAATCGTAATTGATGAACCTCCCGAGCCCACAAAGCCCCTGGAAATTGTCCAAGTTGAAATTGCATTTCCCCTCCAAAAACGTGTGGGGGTTTTGCGTTCAGTCTTTTTTTTGCACGAGCCGAGCCACCATTCATGCATGAAGTGCACAGGTCAGCTTGTGCAGTTTTTGTAGAGTCTCCATTATGAAGGGGGCCAAACACAAACAAACCACAACAACAAACAGCGCCCCAAAACAAAAACAAAACCAACAAACAGAAAACCAAGGCAGGAGACTCTTGGATGTTCATGCAAGGGTGAAACAGAAGTTGGGCACTGAATTACTGCAAAAGGCCACAAGATGGGCTGTCCGAGCTGCGGTTCGAAATGATTGCTGACACTACTTGGTCTATACGCCTGTTTAAACAGGCCTTCACACTGAGCACTGTGAAAATGTGCTCTCCGCACTCATATTGCACAGCACTTGAAGAGGCACGGGCAATCTGGTCGAACAAACTGTGAGTAACTGTGCTTGGTGCATTGATTGGTCATTTGACATGTGCATATGTCTCCATCAGCTCGTGATTTTGCCCTGGAAAACCACTGGTTTTTTTTGCACGGATGGAGCCGCCTTGTGTGCAGAGAGTGCACAGGTCAGCTTGTGCTACTTGTGAGTGAGTCTCCGGCCAGGTAGGGGCAACAAAAAAGCAAACCAAACCAAGCAAACAACCAAACGCCCCAAAACAAAAGAACAAAACCGCAAGTCCGGCAAGGAGACTCAGGTAAGTCACGCGGGTGAAACATATGTGGGGCAGTGAATTATTGCGAAAGCGCGGAGGAACCGCGCAGACGAAATTGGGCTCTTTTCTCGAAACTGAAAAAGGGCTGCGGTAGCTCTGGCTCAAGCCCCTAGGTCTTTACAAACAACCGTACATGTGAAACATCACATATCACTGCGTGGAAATTTACACCCCCCTTAAAGGCTAGGGGCGGTCACCCGGCGGTGCTACCCGCTCGGGCAACAGTGTGCCTGCGCCCTGGCGGGGCTCCCCGTTCAAGATTCAGCGGAGGTTCCCGCACGGGCCTTCGATGCCCCATTGGCATGATCTGCTGTTTCCGGCAGTATTGGCATACAGGCATATGCCATGTAGTGCGCCGTGCCAACTCTGGACAATCCAAGAGGAGGTGAATCTCTCGCCTGGGAATTTGGCATACTAGATGGATGCGTTCCAGATGGAGCCAAAAATCCCCGATGGGACGGTGATCATAGCAGGTCTGGCAGATCATTTCTTCATCGATCTCAGCCTCTGGGACATGTTGCAGGCCTTGACAGTTAGAGTACATGTGTGCTCTGGAACCGGTCCTTGTGAAGAACACGGATCGGTCACGGCGAAACGCCCTTTGCATTGGTGCTGGGGTATCGGCCGGGAGCCTTCTTTGCGATGCCCCCCCTTGGCGAAAAGGTGGGGTCGCCCGCTCTGAGCGCCCATGGTCTGGCTCTGGTTCTGGTGCAGGCTCTCGTGTAACCTGCGTGCGCCGTAGTCTGATGGCGTTGCACACGCACATCCAGAGTACACAACCGAGCAGCACCATGATTCCTAAGATCCAAGGTAAATAGCTACAACCTTCTGAACCATCTTTGTGGCCTTTGACCCCGGTGTTCTGACTGGCAGCAAGGGCGCCGCACAGTTTCAGGCTGGCCTTTGTCATTGGTGCCATTGTCTTCCACTGAGCTGGGGGGGTTCTCCTTCAGAGCTTTCACTGTTCCCTTCCGGGCTGCAGTTGCTCCTTCCACCTCATGAACATTGACGAGGCCCAAAGAGGGCAGTGCCTCCTGCACCTCTGACCCGGTCTTGGGATGTTTCGTGAGGTAGTTGAAGTCGCCCTGTCTGCACTGCCCCTTGTACGTAAAACTCGCACACTTCGAGGTGCCTGAGCTTGCTCCCAGGCCCAATCCTCTTGGCGGCAGTGATTCCGGTGCTCGAGTCACTCCACAAAAGTTGCACTTTGACGGGTAGCTGAAAGTCGTCAGACGCCAAGCCTTTCAGAAAGATAGCTTCTCTAGCTGCGCGACTGATACCCCGCAGCTCTGCATCCGGTGAGGATGTGGCTGGAAGACCAGGCTGCGATTGCGTGGAGGCGGTAATCACCGCACCCCCAAGATTGCCCACATGGGCATCTGTGGATCGTCTGGTCTCTGGACATATTAAGATACCTACCCATGACCACAGCATTTTCCCAATCGCACAGCCGCGGTTGCGCCATATGGCGAGCCAGCTGTTTGACTGCGTAGGCAATATCTCTTCTATCTGCCGAGAGATATGTACCACTGCCCACAGCCGATCTGTACCGTTTGGCAAATTCATCGGCCAGTGGTTCGCTCTCATCCAAGTTGAGCTTACGCGATGGGACCGCTGATTTCTCCTTTGGCTGAATGTCCAGCGCGGTCAAGATGTTCTCTGCGTGCTTTGGATCTGGCGCAGTGAGGATCGCGCTTTTTTTTGCACGAGTTCGGACGCCATGTGTGCGGTGTGCACAGGTCATCATGAGAAGGATGGAGACTCTGCAAATTGGTAAGGGGAACAAAGCCAAACGAGAACCAGCGCAACAACACCAGCCAAACAAAAAACACCCCCAAAACCAGCCCCAAAGACCCCTTAACCAATGTGAGCAGAGTTTCGCACTGTACTAAGGTGAGACCGGTGAGACATGAAAGATCGTTTAACTACCTAATCGGGCCTGAATTCACGAAATGTGCGTAGAGTTACCATGCCGTGCAAACCTCTGACCTCAAGACCTGACAAGTCCACAAAGTTGACATCGACTGCAAAAGATGAAAACCCCAAGGTTACCTAGACACAAACTTGCAATGAACATAGTTGCAAACAAGCACAAGTGAACTCGCAAGAAACTCGCTGGAAGCTAACCCTGCGATGAACGAAGCTCCAAGCAACTACACAAGACATCACAAGAAACTCTCTGAAAGCTAAACCTGCGATGAACAGAGCTCCAAGCAACTGCACAAGACATCACAAGAGACTCTCTAGAGGTTTCCTGGTCATGAACTGGGTTCCAAACGTCCTGAATCAAGTGAACTCGTCTTGCCACAGCAAACTCAAACTCAAAATCGCAAACCCTTTGCCACACTGCACGTGTCTAATTCCACCTGCCTTTCTGATCTTCCTTTCTCTTCTGTTTCCTTGCTTTCTCTTACTTCCTCTCGCTTTCTCTTGCTTTCTCAAGACAAGAAAAAATCTTCAAACATGAACTCTCCAAGCAACAAGCAAGCAAGACAC